CCTGAAGCAGGACGTGTACTGAGGACGGAGGCACAGTTCAAGTGGCGAGTCATGCGGACACCGCCGTGTACATAGTGTGGGATAAATGTAATAGGCTAAATGCTGGCCAATCAGAATAAGGACAGGGGTGAGCCGCTGGCCAGGATCGAAGGCTGGTCAGTCAGAACAAAAAAGGGGTGACGCGCTAACGCGACCTTAACCGCCTTCCGCGAACTGCGGCATGATGTCTCGACCACACGTGCGGGCATACACAACAGTATTTGCATGATTTAACGTACACATTCTGTTGCAGGCTGACTGCTGTGTCGTGCATAGTTATGTGTTCATTTAGGCTTAAGCCGTGACTCAACAACGTTTCTATTCTAGATAATAGTTACGCCTCTTATCAAGTGTAGCGAGGCATGTGCAAAAGTAGAATGTTATGGAAGCCTATTTGTAGATTCTCGTGGTAGCTAAAGCTACGGGAAGACTACCGTGAGCATAACCTTCAGGCCCGCTGCTGAATAGAAAGAGGAATTGGATGCCAGTTGAGAGGATTTTGTATTTTGTGTGGAAAGTGGAAAGAAGGTATTGGAACATGTTGGCAGCTGGAGGAGAGCACCCGTCCGGTGCAGTGAAAGATGGCATCCCGAGTGAGAGCGGAGCATGTGCTATAGTTCCTTGGTCGAGGGCAGATCGGATTCGGCCTTGACATTATTTGGATATCCAGGATTGACCGAGAACCAGATTGCCACTTATGACAGCGTGCAAGTACGCGCCATAGGCGCAGCGTTACGATGGGTGCTCGAAATAAGGCTACCATCCGATGTATCTATCCAGTGGGCCAAGTTGATATGGAAATTGGTTGCTCTTTCCTCGGATTCTTTGGTTGAGAGTCTAACATTGAACAACTAATTTGGACACAGTTGTGCTTCTGCACGCCTGGGCTTGAGGAAATTTGGTTTACCATTTCAACGGTGTGTTGCGCTGGAATCATATTTTAGTTCAGCTCGTCGGCGCGGGAAGAAAATACCAATAAAAGTCACTTGCCCCTTATTTCTTCCCTTACGAAATTATGTTCGTGAAGGCTCAGTTACATGCTGCTGAGGCATCATACAAACATATCGGTTTTTGGCGACTGAAGATCACGTTTAACAGTGTGTGACGACTAAATAAATAGAAGGTACTCCGAGTGCTAGAGTCTTCAGGCCAAACCCAATTAGAAGGAGAATACCACGAATAGCGGCATCCGTTTAATCCGGTTGTACAGCAAACTCAAAAGCTATGCAGGTCGTATGTGAGGCGTAGCCGACTTATTATATGTTTGATGACTTATTTTGCATCGGCCAATGTACATACTTGTATCCCAAAGTGCACGTGATGTGGATGCAAGTACATTGGCCCTACGGCCGATGAATATTTACCTAGCTGAAAGAATGCAGGTGTTTCACCGATCTAGTCAAAGAACAATTAAGTTCCGCTTTGC